TTTGGAGGAAGAAGAATACTGAGTTGCATCCCAAGAACACCATACCTACTGTGAAGCATGGGGGTGGAAACATCATGCTATGGGGCTGTTTTTCTGCCAAGGGGACAGGACGACTGATCCGTGTTAAGGACAGAATGAATGGGGCCATGTATCGTGAGATTTTGAGCCAAAACCTCCTTCCATCAGTGAGAACTTTGAAGATGAAACGAGGCTGGGTCTTCCAACATGACAATGATCCAAAACACACCGCCCGGGCAACAAAGGAGTGGCTCCGTAAGAAGCATTTGAAAGTCCTGGAGTGGCCTAGCCAGTCTCCAGACCTCAACCCCATAGAAAATCTGTGGCGGGAGTTGAAAGTCCGTGTTGCTCGGCGACAGCCCCAAAACATCACTGCTCTCGAGAAGATCTGCATGGAGGAATGGGCCAAAATACCAGCTACTGTGTGTGCAAACCTGGTAAAGACCTATAGTAAACGTTTGACCTCTGTTATTGCCAACAAAGGTTATGTTACAAAGTATTGAGTTGTATTTTTGTTATTGACCAAATACTTATTTTCCACCCTGATTTACGAATAAATTCTTTACAAATCCTACCATGTGGATTCATGGATTTTTTTTTCACATTCTGTCTCTCACAGTTGAAGTGTACCTCTGGTGCAAATTACTGACCTCTGTCATCATTTTAGTGGGGGAACTTGCACAATCGGTGGCTGACTAAATACTTTTTTGCCCCACTGTATGACCTGTCAGTGACAAAATGCTTTCTAAACCTCACCTGTGCCGATGGCAGGAAACGATACAGAGGTGAAAGAGCTTTTCACACATAACTGGAGTGCATCTTTCACAGTCTTGTTGATTTTTACTGGGTCTGTCTGTCCAGTCAGGTGGAGGATCTTTTTACACTTCAGATTACCGGGGCTCGTCAATACCATGCCCTGGTTGGGCTCAGCACCTAAAGGTGAAGGTAACGTATGTTAATGAGCCTTATTAAAAATTTCAGTGTGTACAAGGCCATACTATCTGGTGCCAACTCTGAGTTACAGCGTTATAAAAAGTTGGTGTGATTTCTTACCAAGGTTGCGGCATTCCACTTCAACAGCCGGACCAGCTGCTTCTAGAATAGCTTTAGACACTCCTGGAGAAGGCAAAGGTTACATCACCATTGAATACATACTGTACACATAATCTGAAAGATACAATTACTCTGTGACCTTCTTTCTTATTTGTGTATTATTATCTAAAAATACTTTAAAGATGTGGACTATATTTACATATTATCCTCTATATTGTACCTAAACATTAATATATAAATATATATTATTTCTAATATATAATATTAAATTAATTTTTATTATTATAGCTTTAATATTTATATGTCAAAATAAATATTTAGAGCAGGAAAAAAATAATAACAACTGCTGTTAACGGTTTGGCACAGCTCAAGCACTGTAGTTCTTACTATGATGACTTAAGAGTAAAGTTTTATTACCTGACTTAAGAGTAAAGTTTTCATTGGAGGAGTTGACAATGACATCAGCGGTCTCCTTGGTTATGTCTCCTGTTACTACCTGTATAGTCACATTGCCCATTTTGGTCTCATGCATGTCTGAGGTTGAGGTGATTTTAGAGAAGGGGCCTCCTGGAAATGGACGAAAATAAAGAATTATCAGCAATAAATTATTACAAAATAGAACTTCATTAATTTTGACTACTAATTTAATTGTCCATTAGGATATGGACAAATAATACAGTTTATTATTACAGTTAGTACAAATGTTTGTACTAACTGTTTTGTTACATTTCTTTGAAAACAGGCAAAAATACATCCATTTTTTGTTTAGTTTGTATTGTTTTATTTGGTAGCATTATATAGCAACTGCATATCAAACAGTGTTGCCTGTTTATTTTGTGTAGAACTTGTTGAACCACTTGAGGCGCTGGGAAACTTCTTCTGAAATTCATCACTGAAAGCCTGCAGACAGAAAAGAAGAGCGATTACTTCAACTGAAGCTCACCAATTTGACACCAAACCTGAAACTAAATAACACAACAGAACAAGTTTAATTACTACTGGAGGCTGTCTCCAAAAGTAGGCCCTATGCCCATAGAAGAAATATGTGCGTTCATTTGTGTGCTGTACTTTATCTCTGCTAACTTGAGTCAGCATGGTTAATATTACTAACAGCCTTCCAAGATGTTTTGATGAGTTAAATACTAGTATTTTATTAATTTATTTATTTTTTGTTACTTCTTGCCAATTATTTTTTTTAAATTCAACCTTCATTTATATAAGTAGTCCCATTAAGATTTAACAAGTACGATAAACATTAAAATGACAAGAATAAAAAAACACTAGGGTAGCTAAAATTGTCTAATGACTACACAGTGATCAAAAACAAGAAGAACAGTATAAAAATCTCTGAGATAAAATATCAGAGTATATGGATGCAGTATGCCAGGTTTTCTGGCATTAGATGATAATATTGTCCCCATATGGTCACTTCTACCCCCAGCAAAAGAAGATTACAATGGAAACAAAAGAAAAATAGATTTTACTGGTTAAAAATGCTGATGGTTAATTGACCTAAAAGATTTCTGGTTAGCACTGAGAATGTGTTGCTTCAAAGCTTGTTATTTTTTCTTACCTGGATAGTTTGTGTATCACTGGGGTAAAGTACAATCACGACCTTCTTCAGATGCTTGGGCTGTTTCTTTTTGCTAAACTCTAAGATTTTATCCAACAACAAAGAGGCTACGAGATCTTTTGGGAAACCCAGGTTTCCAGCACCAATGGCTGATAAGGATATGGAGGTTAGATTATTATCCTCTGCCATGTTCAAGCAGTCCTTGAAGATTCCTCTCAAAGTCTGTAAGACAGTTATATATAAAGACATTCATCATGAAAGTTGGATCAAACAGGCTTTTTAACCTCGAAGCTTAAACGTTTACCTTATAATGTAAGGTACTTCACCTTTTCAGATGTGGCTTGATCCTTATAGTGAGGTGCGACTGCATGAAAAACTTTTTTGCTTTTTAGTTGGCAGCCATCAGTAATAATGATCTCACCAACATTTCCAGTAGCACCCTGCGCATCTACTAACTGCTGAAGTTTGGGTCCGGCTGCGCGCAAGATGGCTTGTGAGACTGCACCTGTGTTGAGGTCAAGGTCTGAAGACACAGTGTTCACAATCACCTCCGTCTAAAAATGGTTAGCAGACTGTTAGTACATATTTATCATGTACTACCCCCCCCCCCCCCCCCCCCCCCCCCCTCCAGATTAACCCCTGAAATTTATTCAACATAAAGACACTTTATAGCAACATGTTAATAGTTAATGCATGCAGTCGTTGGTTCCTGTACTGGACAATTTGCCTCTTAATTTATTTATTTATTATTCACTTTAATTAGATATAAACAGCCAAAATCTGAATTACCGTGGAAGCTTCTAGGTTTCCCTTTGTAAGAACGATGTCCACGCCTTCTTTGGTCTGCACACGATTCAGACACAGGTCAGATCCAGTAGACTGTGATACTGATTGTGTGGGAGCAGTGAGATGAGGAGTTTGTTGAGAATGAGAGTCACTGAGGTTTCCAAACTCCTGCCTGACAGCAGCCACCATATCCTGAACAGCAATGTCGTCATTGTTCACGAAATGGATCTTCTTCAAGGTAATGTCATCATAGTTCTCATAACAATACTCCTTCACTGCTCTAACAATGGTGAGTTCACACTGCTTGAGGGGAAAGCAGCGCATTCCTCTGCCAATAGATGGAAGAGCTACTGAGACGCATCCGTGGTTTTCAGCGGCTTCTAAGCTTCCTTTAACAACTTTGTTCAACTGAGCTGAAGCTTGCTGTGGTTTTTCATACTTGGGTGCCACAGCATGGATGACCTTTTGGCAACAAAGTGTTCCTCCTGCATCAGTTATGATACATTCTCCTGGCTTGAGTTGACCCTTTGTTTTTTTCATTTTGTAAAATTCATCTTGTAACTGAGGGCCGGCAGCCTTCAAAAGTGCTGATGCAAGACCAGTACTGTGTTTCAAGTCTTGATTAAATGGACTCACAACTGCCTGCATTGGGTAAGTGCACATATTTGCCTTGTAAACAGCGATTTCTACTCCTTCAGGTGTCATAAGTTGGTATAAAGGTGTTGGTACTTGTTTAACGTTGTCTTGTCCACCACCTGGCTTATCAACCAGTTGAACCAGGCAACCAGTTTTATTTTTGATTGTGGAAAAATAAGCTTCATTTTCCTGGAAGAGCTTCTTCACTCCAGACTTGTAAACATTCAGACTGTCAAAGACTACAGCAGAGACGGCACCTTCAACCACAGTCTTGCAATGTGTCACATTAACTCTGGATCCACTCAGACAGATGGCCTCATTTCTGTAAGACACTCTCACCTTGTCTTTCACTTTCTCCATCCAAGATGTGTTGAAATGTTTCAAGTATTCAACGACAGCATTAGCTTTGACCACAACAGTTTCTTCTATGTGAGCGTTCTGTGTTAAGAAGTCACCAAGCTGATGCTGAACCTTTATGACACTATCCTTGTAGCCTGACACCACGACTTGTTGAGCAGTTGTGTTGATTCGAGTTCTGCATGGCTTACTGTTAGCCTGCTCTAAGTGACTGACCAGCTGCTGCCACTCTGGCTTCTTCAGGACATTACTGTCTTCAACATTAATGTACTGAGTGTTAACAGCTGTCCTAGATGGTCCTGAGCATGAGACAGATCTGTGTCAGAAACAGCAAGGAGCTGCACCCTGTTTCCACTGATTTCAAACGCTGCGTTTATTCGATGAGATGTGAGGAGAGCATCTGTAAGCTCCTCTTGTTGCTCATCTTTCAACAGTTCAAGCACATATTTATCGACTTCCAGATTCTGTCGTTTTAATGCAAGTACTGCATCAAATATAACTTTGCTTGCTGCATTAATCTCTTCCCCTAAACCAGTTATTTTCAGATTAGGACTCTCTGGTGACAACTTGAGTTCTGGATACACAAGTAGAAGTTTGTCCATGAGGCCATCCTGACACAGGAGATGAAAAACTGATGGTGACACTTTGATCTCTTCGGTTTTACTTGATTTCTCCCTGTGGATCGTTTTTGCAATCTTGTTAATAGTTTCAGAAAGAGATTTCTCCAGTCTGTCGACATCACTATCAAGACCAGCCACTGATAAAGCACCTCTGTCTTTATCGGGTACTACAATCACATTTTCATTCAGTAACATCTCTCTGATCTTTTTCTCAGACTCTTTCCATGCATCTGAACCTGGATTGAACTTCACAGATTTGAACTTTGACACAGATTGTGCAAACGCTGACTTCACAGTATCAGTCCACTCTTTGAGGATGGCTTTGGCATCCTTTTGCTTTAGTAAAGAAGATACAGGACTCAAGGTCACAGTGGTTTGGCCGAGGTTTACGATGCAGAAGTGTTTTCCATTTCACTGCAAATGGTCTCTGCTGCTGATTTATTTTGAGCTAGGTATCTGAGGACAGCACTGTCAATGGGCTCTGAGATGGCAGCGGGAAGTTTTAGTGCAGGTTTGTCTTTGCCGTAGAGGGCCACTCCCAGAGTTTTATAAAAAGGATAAACTCTGATTTCTTCCTTTTTTATGGAATGCTTCTTCTTGAAGATTTTTTGAACAGCTGGAAGAAAGAATGTAACATGCTGTATATTATTATTCACAAGTTATTACTGTAGGTTTGCAGGAACATACAGTGTAGTGTAAATAAATTACCTCGATGATCTTTAAATGTGATGACAGCAGACTGTTCCGCTTCATTAAGGAAGACCTCTTCCACATCCCCACCTTCATTTTCAAAATAAAGCTGAAGAACTTCTTCACTGAAGTGTAGAATGTCGTCAACTAGAACTTGCTTTGTGACTTCGAGAGGTTGAACAGAAAATCCCTTCTTGGTGAACATTTTGTTTTGGGGGCATTTTGCCACAAAATTAGCATTTTCTGTGAAATAGAGATAAAAAAAAAAAGTTTAAGGCATTTTAAATAAAATAATTCTGCAGGATAAATCTTCTTTGTTGATTTAATAATGAGTACACCCATTTTTCAGAATGAAGTATCAGCACGTTTATAATTAGCAAGGTACATTACACTACCAGTAGTCTGTGTTGCTTTGCTATCCTGTGCATTAGTGCGCTAGAAAACTTTGTCATTCTAGCTCAGGCAAATAAAATAGCCACATTGTCCTGGAAAATTCCTTTATTACATTTGTGGCATATTTTTATGTTGTTTTATGTTAATGAGTGTTGGACCTGGTTATGCAATACAGATTTCAGCATCAAACGGCCGGTTAAACTTTATATTATCATATCATAAATAAGAACTTTTCATTCTGAAATGGGTACCTTCTCCACTCTGGAAAGTCACCACAGCAGAGGAGATGTCAGGAAAGAATTCCAAAGTGAAGTCATGAGACTTAGTGATGTTTTCCACCAGCATCTCCAAGAACTCCTGGTTGGTATTATCAAGAATATTCCCTAAAACGGCCGAGGTGGAACATGGCTCTTCATCTGCTGTATCATCGTCTCCGCCTTCCGTTTCTGTTTGAACTGTCGGGTTGCTTTTATCAGCACTCGCCTGTTTGTCTGCAGCAACATCTGCTGTTAAAGACAAATGTGGCCAAGTGTAACAAACATATACTTTTTAGATAGTGCAAGACTTAAAACACTTATATTTTAATTACTTATTTTGGTGTTTCACTCACAGCTATTGCCTCACACTAATCAATAAATTAATTAAAATAAGAATAATCATTAATATTGACTTAAAAAAAATAATCAGACTTTGTATGGTCTTATTGACGTAATGTCTAGGAGACATCTAGTGTATCCTACCAGTCTTGAAGTGTTAAGCACACTATGTTAGAATAGCATGAAGCTTTGGATATTTTATTGAGAGAGAGGCAGTTTTATCACATAAAGCTTGTCAGCTTGTCTAATTTTTGATTCACAGATTCATTTTTTGTTTTGTTTTGTTTTCTTCTTACTAATGCTAGCTAGATAGACAAATCACAAGCTATCTAGCAAATACAGTTCAGAAAGGGTCACAGAACCTGAGGTACTTTCCATGGTCTCACACGTATTGAATTCATCAGTTAAATACAAATATTTAACTTCAAATAATAACTCAACTAAAACAGTACAAATGAAAGGCAAGCCAAATAGGAAATGCTGGACGTGTAATACAGTACAAACACTGATTAGTTCCAAATTGTGTTTGGTGGTGGGGAGTTGCTACTCATCTGAAAAAAAAAGTGAATGTCTGAGAAAACTACCTGAGACAACCTGCCTCGAGTGGATGAGATCACTTAATTAATTCAAACGCCCAGGGCTGTTGTGTTAACTCAGCTTTTCCAGTGTCACAAAGTAGCACTGCTAGATTTGTGAAGTGTTAAGTTAACAACTAGCTGGAAAACAGAATGTTGTTTGTGAAAGTCATCAGTAGTAAAATCATAACTAAGTAGAAATGCTAGCTTGTGAAATTACTTTACCTATGATACTAAATGATTTCAAATGGCGTTAACTTTAGCCATCAGTAAAGCATGTAATGGCTCAAAGCAAAGATGTACAACTATCATTTACTGCAGTAATAGCTAACCTTGGCACAGTTAGCCTGCTAAGTGTAACCTAGAGATTTTCTAGTATATATTGTGGTTGTTGGTGTTTAGGTGGGCGGATCAGAATATTTCAGAAGCTCTGGGGCTTTCCCACACAGCCACCTCTAGGGTTTATAGAGAATGGTCAAAAAAGAGAAAACATGCAGTGAGCAGCAGTTCTGTGGGGCAGCAATGGCTCGGTGATCTCAGCCATCAGAGGATAATGGTCAGACGACTTGTTACAACTCAGGGATGCTGAAAAACACAACATGTCACAGACTGAAGCAGCTGGGCTGCAACAGCAGAAGACCAACACTGTTCTCCATTCCTGTCAGCTAAGAACAGAAAACTGAGGCCACAGTTCATACAGACTCACCAAAAGATTTTTTTTTTGAAAGTGTAGCAATGTCTGATTAAGCTGATGATATTTGTATGTTAGGGTCAGAATTTGGGTCCAATAGGATACTAACAAGGTGTACCTAATAAAGTGGACAGTGGTGTATACTAAAAGTAGATAAACTATAGGGGTGGACAAGTGAAAGGACTTCCTGATCTTACACTAGTGGTTATAAACACAGTTCTGCTCACTCAGTACTTACATTTCTTCTTATCTTCATCAGACGGAGTTTCCTGTATAAAGAAAATACAAAAAATACACGTTAGTCACAT